TAAAATTAAATTAAAATGCAGACCCCCTCGGACTGGTGGCCAGGACCTGGGCAGTGTGAGTGCCGCTGAAAATCGGCTTTTGTGCTGCCTTTGGCACGCGTGCCATAGGTTGCCTACCCCTGATCTATGCTATGAAGATGTCCTTGATAAAAGGCAATATAGAAGAAATATTTACAGTCCATTGATTATTTCCTGATCACTTTAGTTCTCTGAAATAAAAGATTTTGCCCAAATACAGTCTTGTGACTTTCTGTAAATTCTGAACATATTCTGTTTATCAATATATAGAGAGTTGATAATATTAACAATAAAAAACAAACCAAAGTAACCAAATTCTTGTAAACTTTTTGCTTGTTTGCTTAGTCATTCTTTGATTACATTTGATTCTCACTCAGCCAAGAACATGAAAACATGCATCTTGGTTCATACGATAAGTAGGTAACATTATTACAGGGGGGCTGGTTACTCTTTATATCGACCTAAATAACTTAACAAGCTACGCTTAGGCTAGAAATTTAATAGAAAATAAGTTTATGTAATTTTAAAAAGAGTGATAGTTGCTAAGAGTAAACTACACTGTCAATCACAAAATCCAAGCTTATAAAGCAAAGAAATTAATAGTTAAGAATTAAAAAAAAATACTGCCTAGATGAACGCATTCTCATCCATATAAAGAAATTTCATCACAGCACAACCCTAACTCCAACCCATGGTTTGCTGTTTTTTTAAAAGATTTTTTGCTATCTTGATTTCAGTAGAGTTTTCTTTCAAGGGATAGTCTTAAATGGGAACTATTATTAGCTAATATTTATCAACTGACATTTGAATTTTTTTGTAAAGTACTTATAATTGTTGTGTTGCGGGAATAAATTTTGACATTTTAATATTAAGGTGATAACCATTAGTGATTAGTAAAATAATGTATATATGTGAACTTGCATTAGAAGCAGGTCAACAGGTGTCATTAATCTCAAATATAAAATTCTATTTTTTTAAAAGGGTTTTGTGTGTTTACTGGTGAAAGAATAGTATTTTTAGATCAGAGTGAAGGTTGTTGTGAGTATATGCATTTCTTTATACTTAACAAATAAACACAGTGTAAGATTTGAGGTCCTTAATTTTTCATTTCCACTGTTTGGTTTTTCTAAATAATGTGATAAGAAACTACATTGTTATTTAACAGCCCTAATTGTTGTTTGAAACAAAGTTGCTGTTTTTTTGTTTTTGTTTTGGTCTTTGTAAAGGTTTTGGAATTTCATAGTGTCTGTTTTGTTTTAAACATTTACTTTTGGTTTTAGTGTTTTCCTTTATTTGCACAGTAGGAAATATAAAGAAGTGGGATAGGATGGATCACCAGATTAAACTAAGAGAGCTGAAAATGGTTCCTTCAAAGCCTGTCTCATTTGATACACACCTGACAAGATATACTCTTTAGGTAGCTAAATTACCAAAACATGCATGTGGAGCATAGTCTAACTTCATTTCAAATGTTGTTTAATCAGCAAATTGTCAGATCCAAAACTAGAACGCACATTTTTTTTCACAGCTAAA